TGTTGTTTCACGCGCCACCCAGCAACAGAAGTGTAAAGATGAGGGCCTCCAACATGCTAGCATGTCACATCAGTCACAGCTACACCTGCATAAAGAGAACACTGCAACAGCGACTCTACTAGTAGCAGCATCACAGCTGACTCTGCCAGTGAATGCCAGCGCTCATCAGGCCAGTCAGCCATGGTAGCTTCGCTGGCCAGCCAGCCTCACCACCACTAGCACCAGCTAGCCTGCAACTGCAAGAGCTTCACCTGGCATCCCGCCGGCTTGCCAGCATCGAACTGCTGCTGCAAGGAAGAACGACAATACTAGTGCTGGCTAGCCAACTGTGACAAGAGCCTTGCCCAGCATCCAGCAGGTGTGCCCAGTTTCCTACAAATGGCCCTTTTCAGGGACAACATCACCACCATCACTAGCTCAAGCTAGGCTGCTACAAAGAGTTTTTGCCACTATTCATCAGGCACACTCTACTTCCCTGCTCGTCTGTAATATTAATTCTAACAGCAATAAACGTTTGTTACAGTTTTATGTGATTGTCTCTTCGAGCAATGACATCCAAGTTTTATTTACACTCTTTTTTTAACTTTTAAAAAAGCCTTGGTACAAAAATAATGACATAAAATATATTCCATATTTCAACTTGTAACTTTTTTTTTATTTGATGCGTGCATAAAGAACATAAATTTATTCTGCTTCACACTATCGTCTGAACATTGAATGATATCAAATTTTATGAAACTCTTTGAGTGGTTCTTTACCTGTTCTGCGCAGAAAGACACAGAGTTATACAAAGCAAATTTACAGCACTGGGAATTTGCCTAAAAAGGCATAGTTTAAATTTGTTTATTTTCAAAATGCTGCATGTTTGCATAACACTGTTTCAAGGCATGAGCAGAATAAGCTGCATATGTTGAGTTCTCATTTCACAAGAAATTTTTGTGTCATAGCTGTTTATCCTTTCTGCACAAAGAAAGTTCTATTTTTAAAAAAAATCTGCTTGGCAGATACAACAGATCATGTTAAAAAGTCTTCCAACATACATAGAATATGTATAGCATAAATGCCTTCAGAACATATTATTAAATGCAGTCATAAACACATACAACAATTGTTTTAAATAATATAAAGGGCTACAGACTGAACTTGTTGGTACTTCTGCTTATATAGTTACTTTGGGATGTCACAAGATACATGACTATACCAAGGAGATACTGATTTTCACTATAAAACAATAGAGAAAGTGTCTCTCTGTGTGAAAAAAGTACCAAAACCAGTTAGTGTCATGCATATGGAGATGATGATCCAACATAACCTACATTCAAACCCAAAGTGAGAAATATTACAATGCATACAGTTTAAAATGCAGGTACCTATCAGTTATGAAATAGTTAAAATAATGATGGTACCATAAATCTAAAACTGATGTCAATTTTTTAAATCATCTGATTTCCTTGCTGTTTATTACATATATAGTATTACCACTCCAAATGTCAGGCACAATACTGAAGCAGAATAGAAAAGAGAAAAATTTGTTAGTGCAACGTGATAGAGAACAATTGTAGTAGTGACAGGATGGTCTCAAAACAGGTGAAAAAGTGGCCCTAAGATTTCATGACCAATATTATGTTATGTAAGATAGTATCATAACCCATTTGAAGAACAAGAATATACCATAGTTCTCATACTCTTGCTGCACAAAAATTACCACCTTCAACCCCAAATAACACAAAACAGGGAAGGTGCCACCACACCAAGGTCGTAACTGAGCCATAAGAAATTCTTACCTCTTCACACGTGAACAAACCTCTGCCATTTCAAAATGAATCACATACATGAACCCCTGGGTCTTCATTTTTACTGGCTGAAGGGAATCCACACCACTCATCACTTTCAATAGGCATATGTTCTTCAAAACAATGGAACCATTGAAAAACTCATGTTCAACTCAACATTGCATCATCAAATGCTATTTGCATGAAGTGATAAAATTCGATCACAGGGCTTTTGAACATTGTCACAAAATGTAATGCACAATAATCTTCTGTGCTTGCATAAATTATTGAAATGATATGTGACAACAAAACTCTGCTTTAAATGATTATCACAGATGACTAGCAACAGAATGAGCCATAAACAAGCATGGACATACAGTAACACATAAGAATGTACTCATCACAGCCATGGCCCTGTAAAGCATGACTAATCTGAGATTATGCTCAGTCTCAATACTTTTACATAAAACATTGAATTTATGGGGCGCTGATATAAAACAAACAATAACATAAAGGAGGTTCATACACTTCAGTCTGACACTTGATAAGATGCCAATCTATTACTTGGTTCAATATCTAAGACTATGACAGACAGGAAAGGTCAGTTCATAGTATAGTTAAACTGAGAAGGGCTGACTGTATACTTCGTCTCCTGAGCAGTGTAAATCCCACAGAATGTCATAAAACAGCATATTTTTAGTACCTGCATAATAAAATTGCACATTTCAGTTTCTTAAATCACAGTTATTTAGAAGAAAGGAAGACAAGACGAAAGCAATATACAACAAAAAAGCAGTTTTGTACATCAGGGGAAAATGAGTATGTTGAATATGGCATGATACATAGAAGTCACATCTCAAACAGTTCAATTAATTTTAAACTCCCTATTATAAATTATGTACTATAACCTTTGCATAACTGAGTCCTTACAAACAGAATTTAATAGTGGATGAGATATATATCATACTATTACCATGACAGATGTAAAATCCAAGTATTCAAACAGTCCTCCTGAACAAGAAGCAATAAGTGATAAGTAACTGTGGTTGGAAATGTCATGTTTATGGTAAGAAGAAGAAAGAGAGAAATGCATATTTTGTGTGCCTAAGCTGTTGGTGTCCAGTTTATGGTTCTTCAGTTCCGATTAATATTATTGTATGGAAAATGTAGGTCATGGATTAAATAAACCACAATCAATAAACACTTCATGCAAGTTTTGTTGGTGAAAATTAATGATTATAATGAAAAAGCCATACTTTAAAAACAATTATTTTATTCTTGGCACATTCATAATTTTCACCAAAGACTAAAAAACAAGTCTGTGAGTTCCAGGTCATGTATCACTTGCCTTTTGAAATATATTAGAACTCTATACTGTCCACATTAATAATGGATCATCATAACCTTTGTGCACATCTACATGGCAAGAAATCTGAGTGCCCCCTACATATGAAGTCAATTAAACAAACCCTGTTCACTGGAGGGTAGAGTTTCAGCTGCAACTATCCCTGAGATCTCACGTTCACTGGCTCCCTAGTTGTCCAATCACTCTCTCATCTGCTCTTATTATCCTACATTATAAGATAACTCTCACTGGTGCCCAACACCTTAATCACTTATCCTTTGAATATTAATTAGCAAAACCTTAAAGGAAGCATCAGAGAAAGAGAAGTGGAACACTTTGTCCACTATGATAACCCATACCATCATTCTATTTTACTTTTAGATGGTCACTGACTTCATACAGATAAATTATTTCAAACTTTGTTTTTAATTCTAGGCTCTTCCAGCTTGTTGCCATGAGTTGAACTAAAACATGAAGCATAAACACAGAAGAGTTTTCAGATCCATTCACAAGCCATACAAAGCAATACACAATGAGAAAAACTAATGAACTGACGGGGAAGTTGAGAGGATGTCACGTGAGGAACATTTCTCATTGGTGACAATTTGAAGGGGATAAGCTGCTGACAGATGCTGGAATGTGATCGCCCTCCTAGACAAGGATAGGACACAGAGGGTAGGTTAATGGGACTATTACAGACTGATAACCATAAATAATTTTGCAGCAAAAGTTCAGGTACAGATGGTGCAAAATGTTATGGGAAAACAGTGGTGGATAGTCAGGAATCACTCATTATGATGAAAGTGCCTGAAAAAAAACAAACAAACTTTATGCAACAGTTTTCCCTTCACATGTGACATTTCCTATTGTTTTTGTTGGTGTTATGAAGTCCCCAATACAAGACCTCCACTGAGGTTTCACTGTAGCTGCTGAAAGCAGTAACCTCCAGCATTTAAGCACATTTCATACCGACGTAACAAAATTTGTGATATACTGTGAAGCTAACTTTTCAGGCATTCTAAAATAAGATTCCAAGTTTTGATTTCTAAAACTTTCCCAGTACTTGACTTATTTCCATAAACCTGTTTGAAGTTGCCCCAAAGATAAAAATCACACATACCCACATCTGGGAAATGAGATGGTCATAGTTCTCTGCAGATTCATTTATTTAACATTCTGCAGTGTGCAAAGGTACAATGTCCTGCCGAAAGTTGCAGTCACTTTACTTCTCAACAAGAAACTGGCACTGTTCAATATTGTATATGTTTATGACTGGATACAAATAGAATAAATGCTCACAGCTAACTGGCCATAAGGGCAAATATGCAGTGATTAATGGAACTGAAATGTGCATTTCTCATCAGGCCAGACTCTATCTTAATATATTATCCACTGCATTCTCATTGTTAACCGAATCCTTAAATAAAACTGCATAACTGTTGTATTAACTGCTTTGTATTTACATCTTACCATTTTAATGTAAATCACAATAACCCTTCTTCAATGTGATTTGTTTATACACACAAAAACAAATGAGAATAATTATTTGATGACTGCAGAAAATGTGAATACATGTTGTGTTCTGCCAGCCACAATCCTAAATGCAATTCAGACACTCCAATGCCAAGGTAATGCTATTACCTTCTAAGAACACATTGGTCCTGCATCGACACTTCATTCTTATTACACTTGAAATGTCTACACAGATATGAAAACCATGCTAGGCTCTGGTGCTTCTGAAAGCTTGAAGCAATGTATATAGAATCATTTCTTTGTGTGTGTAAAGAAATCTAGGTATTAACGGGTCACATATCTCCATTTAATCCACATGGTATTAAGTCTGTCCAAGGTGGATTCACCTAGTATGCCATTTTTGAGGGACATAACTCCCTTGCTAGATAAAGGTTTACTGTATAAATACACAGTAAAAAATATAAATTATGTGTAGAATTGAAACATATGTGACAGTTGGAAAGCAAGCATGTAATTCTGTGCTTTCTTATTTTAATTGAATGTATGTGAATGTGGGTTTGTCAAAATACAAGTTGTACTAAAAACACATAATGGCAACAATTGAATACTTATGCCCTGTCACTCAACAAACAAATCATCTAGTTCTGTACATCAAAACAGGGTTAACTTGCTTCCCTCCGCTGAACAACTTGCCACTCCTGATGACTTTTTGACTGCAGTTCATTTATTTTGCGTTTCCCCCACAGGAGCCATAACCAACCAATCACAGTACACAGTGCAGTCTCCACAAAGTAGCCATCTATCCAAGTATCACATGAGCCTCCAACTTTTGAACATTCCTGAAATATTAAAAGAAATCTTGCACTTTGTATGAACAGAGAAAATGCAACAGAAAATTATATGCTGTGAATAGAAAGGATGTGTCCTCTGTTACAGGAATGTTACAGCCAAAGCAATGGAAACTGACTGGTGAGCTTATTTAGTGTGAATGTGCATACAACAGAACTCTGGTAGGACATTCTAATGTTCATGCTACTGAACAAATGTGATTTCGCTTTTGTTCTACAAAGTGTGTCCAAGAGTAATGGGTGGGTAATGAACACTACCTCATTCTTTAAATCTGAGAAGTCTCATATTTGATTCTCATGCCAAAGGTCACGTGTCCTGACTGAGGTTCTTCATGCCCTCACCATGCATTTCAATTTAATATTTATTAAAACTAAAATAAACTTAATTCCTTTTACTACCACCAAGTTATATGTCAGTCTGACCACCTTCAGTGCAAGAATGAAAGTATAATGCATTATGTGTGGTCATTCCATGTTTGACTTATGTAAAACCGAACTGTGTAATGAGTGAAGAATATCACCTCTGTCTCCTCTGCTGTTATACATGTATTGTTTTGGAGTTCAGGTGCAGAACACTGTTTATATGTGAGACTGTCCACCATCCAGAGTGCGAGTGTACCAGGCCAATTTCCTCCCAGGTTTGACAAGGTGTTCAGAAGAGTCATATATGTTCCTCCTACAGCAGGGTCACTTATTCGTGCAAAAAAAGCCATCACAGCCACAAACATGCTATAAAGTGTAACCTGTTGAAACATAATAAAAGCCATCTATCAGGTTTCAAAATAACACATATGCATATCATTTGAAATGACTGTCACACAGCAATATCAGACCAGTCCGAAACCCATCACTTCAAAATCTCTTTCATAATTTTTGGGAGTAATCTAGCATGGCACAGATATGAGCATAATATATGTATAGTTTAACAATGTAATTTTTATAGAGGCATAAACACTTAACACATGCCTGGAATACTGCTTGGTGGCACATAAAATACCGATGGTTTTGTGAAAATTAAATTGTTAAATTGAAATAAACACCATAGGGAATGAATACAATATATGTATGTACACTTTGCCATTAAGCTGTTTTTACATCACTGACTTAGCAGGCTGGTATAATAGTAATACAGCAGACTTGTATTTGGCAGAAATCTAGTCTGAATCTTGGCTGGGTTACCAGATATCCTGCCTGAGATATCAGTAGTTTTCCTTTGTATCTCCAGGTAAATTCTGTATCTTAACATACGTCACAACTGCATTCTTTTATCAACTAACTATATGCAACCATATTGCCATCTTATTTGGCACAAATGATATCTGCTGAGGAATGAATAACATGAGCAGTCATCTTTACATCTAAACAACTAATATGGTACTCATATAAGCATGTAAGTCTACAAAGATGTNCCTGCTCTGAAGAAGGAGGTGATACGTTCCTCCAAAACATCGGCCAAAACGAAGAATACACGGTGCCAAAACCCAGAAGACGACTTTCTTCATGCAAGTTCTTTATTCGAAATAAAGCCTACAATAGTAAAGAATGTCCACTATGCTAAAATGTGTCCTAAATTTCTTTCTACCTATGATTCAAATCATTAGTCATAGTTTATTTAGCAATACTGTCAATATTGCATGGAATGGTATGATGAGAGGTGAACAGTGGATTGAAAAGGACGTCAAACTGGTGGTGGCCTAATTAGAGTTACTATCCCAACATTTACCCAAAGGGACTGAGGAAAACCAGGGAAAATCTGAGACAGGACAGAACCAGGCACCTCACAAATACAAGTCATACTGTTTGATCCAAGTTTCTTGGTGCAAATTATAGCGTGTGTCACGTAACTTCGAACAAGGCCAAGAGTAACCTTGAATGCACAGAAGAAAAATTTCAGACAAGAGGGTGGGTTCGAGGGTGAGAAGTGACAGGCGGCCAGTCGTTTGTATGTGTTAAGAAACTCCTCCCACCACAAGCTATGTGCGGGATTTGACTAGGAATGTGGGGCCTTGTTCGAAGTTACATTACGTGACACTGTCTACAATAGAGTAATAACAAAGCCATTTTCAACCGACACAGTTTCCAAAACAATGGTGGGGGGAATAAATGTATAACAGAACAACTGATAAAAGCAGGCATACAGAACAAGACTAGCATTAAAAGACGATGAATTTTTGACATAATATTTCGTCAGCATAAATGTTGGGCCTTGTTCTAGCACACAGAAGATGAGTGAGAGGGTGAATACTTGCTTTGATTTAGTACTGACATTAAGAATATGTGCAGAAGTATCTACTGTCCTCCAACAAAGATAAGATGAGACAAGCAGAGGGCAGAACTGGTCAACTGGACAATTCTACTATTCATTTAGGAACACAATGAGTTTCACTGTACCAACTGCTCTAGTAAGTCATCTGAAAATTATGCTGATGTTTTGAGCTAAAACAGTACACATCAGGGGGCCTTGGAAATTGTCTTGCCTTCTCTTCATTGCAGGACAATAAAAGCCATCTACATAGCTACAGAAGGTGGGGTCAAGCTACCGTACACAATGTTTCAATTTTACCTTCTATGCATACTGAAGTGGTAATCATTAACCAGTTATTCACATTACAAAAATAATAAAAAATCTTATACAGATGGAGTGGCAACTTATTACATTTGTGTTTACCTGGTGTAGTGAATAAATGAGGATGAGAACTACATAATAATACAATGGAACATCACCATTTTGTACTATGAATGGAGTAATCCATACTAAACCTGCTGCTATGATGCCAAATAATAGCCTGCAATAAGATAAATACATGACAATATAAAAATTAAACAAAATTGCTGTGTATGAGGTCTGACAATAAAGTTTGTGAACTGGCCACTCCATGCTTGATATCGCAGCAGTGAACAGAAACCTCACNTAGCCTGCAATAAGATAAATACATGACAATATAAAAATTAAACAAACTGCTGTGTATGAGGTCTGACAATAAAGTTTGTGAACTGGCCACTCTGTGCTTGCCATCGCAGCAGTGAACAGAAACCTCAGTATGGTTTGATTACGTTGGTATACAAATGTTTCACAGCTGTGTTGTTGTTGTTGATCTATAGCAGTCTCTTTCTGAGTGGCATCTATTATTGTCTGAGTTTGTTCTGGTGTGCCATTGTGAGAATGTTGGAAAGAACATTAAATTTCTTGTTAAACTTGGTAAAAGTGTAAGCAAAATCAGAGAGATGTTAGTGCAAGTTTATGGGGATAATGCTATGAAGAAAACAGCAGTTTACAAGTGGCTGACACGTTTTTCTGAGGGAAGAGAAAGTGTCACTAATGAAGAGAAATCGGGATGGTCAGCAACGAGTAGAACTGAAGAAAACATTGAAAAGTTCATTAAATTGCATGTAAAAATCATCAGCTGACTGTCAGGAGCATAGCAAAGCAAGTGAACATCGACAGAGAAACTGTTAGGAAAATCTAACTGAAGAACACTTTCTTGTGAGGGAGTTTTTAGCTAGTAAACATTTAATTGTGCTGGAACACCCTCCCTATTCACCAGATCTAGCCCCCGTGACTTCTTTGTGTTCCTGATGATAAAGGACATATTGAAAGGAAGGCAGTTTAATGACACTGATGACATCAGGAGTAATATGACAGCAGCTCTGAAGGCCATTTCACAAAACCAGCTCCAAAATTGTTTTGTAATGTGGACTAGGCACTGGCATCAATGCATAGTTGCACAAGGGGAGTACTTTGAAAGCAAAAACAGTGATATTCAGCAATGAGGTATCTAGATGTTTACATCAACGAGTTCGCGAACTTTATTGTCAGACCACGTAGATACAGTTTCACATTCAATAGTACATTAATCCAATATAACATACTGTATTCTTATGATAGCCACTGAAGACACAAATGAGATGTCTGATAAAATTATAAATTGGAATTTGAAGTGAGGATAAAATACCAGGGCACATATTGTGACTTTCTTGGATATGACACTGTGTAATCTGGTATGTGGCTACCGGTGCTTCCACCATTTCTAGCCTTTTACTTTCAACACTGCCATAGGACCCTATGCTGCACCAGTTATATCCACTCCACAATTTCACACCAAACTTCCCTAAGTCCTGTTCAATATATCCTCCTGCATGTACATCAAGATCTCCCATGTGATGTCTTCCACTGAGGTTCCTCTGTTACAAAAAAAAAGTCTGCACTTCCCCTACATGTCATATACGTCCCACACATCCCATACTTCCAGATTTTGCCTTTCAAATTTCAAATTGCTATAACAAAAGTTATTTAAAATTTGCAAAGGCGCTGAGTGATCAGATTGCAGTCTTCTCAGTTGTGATGCCTATTGTAGGTGGATACAAATGTTTCAATGGAACATGCTACATTCATCTTCAGAATGAAAGTGATTGGGGTAAAAATATGGTCAGATTGCACAGGCATGTTGGAAGGAAGGCAGTCACTGTGACGACTGGACGGGGACAGAGACAAAGACTGGTCTGCTGCATACAGAATAAGTATGAATTTGAGGTTCTCACAGCAGTGATTATGAACAGTTCTTTCTTCTGGGATATAATACCATGTGGTCTGTTGAAAGTCAACAGATGTTTTGGAGGAACATATTGCCTCCGTCTTCAGGGATAACGAGTTAAGCCAAGAAAGAAACCAGCACGAAGCAAGTAACAAGCAGAGTGAGTAGCTTATACTTTGACCCTGAAGATGAAGGCAACATGTTCCTCTGAAATGTCAGTTGACTTTCAATGGAGTAATCCCAGAAGAAAGAATAATGAATACTTTCCTATGCACAGCTATAAACATTACAGATTAGCAGAGACCATTTCAATAATAAAACTAAACAACATAAGTAAAGTTCATGACATACGAAGATAATATTCTATGATACGTATTTGCTTATACTCCTTACCTATAAGGAAATGCAGATATATAAATATTCATGGGCCTTGGGCCAACGGTATATTTACTAATGGCAAGGGGTAGTATTATTTGTAATGGAACTAAAGGAATTGCCATAAGTGCTAATTTCTCCTTTGGAAATCCTGCATCAATCATCTTCAAACTAGTCACTGCATCACAAGCACTGAAGCCAACCTGAATGAAACAGTAAACAACCAGAAATAATCCATATTATCACACTAATATCTGTAGTTTTCATTATAACATGTAAATCTGAAGATGCCTGTAAAATCGAAAATCCATCTATTGGAGAAAGATCAGTCACCTCTATTGACATTATATCAGTAGTTATTTACTCATAATTTGGTATCAGACATGTCACTGGTAGGAAGAGTAGGTGTAAGGGGGGAGGAGGGACCTCAGATGCCCATTAGTTTGAATTTACAAAACTAAATTGGCTCTCTGCATGTTACTTACATTGCTGTAATTTGTATGTGAATCTCTTACTTAAATTCTCTTATATAGTTTTCTGTGTTTTGATGGTAAAAGAAGCATCTGTACTTCATTACCACTGTGATACTAAATGTCCATTAATATTTTTGGTGCTTCTCTACTTTCTTTCATTTTATGTCAGCATCAGCTGAATTCATAGGGCCTTTTAGCTGCATAGTATCTACTCACCCTTTTTATTCCAAATTTTTATCCCCTCAATCCCAAAACAAGGTGTAGTGTAGACATGATTTTGGCCTATATAGGTCAATGAAATACCAAAATGTGTGATATACATCCTCCTTCTAACTTGAAAAATGGCTCATTAGGTCATGTGGTCAATGCTGTAATGATAAATGAGGGCTATGATGCAGAATATCAAAATAAAAATTAACTGTAATATAGAAAGAAAAACTGCTCATTTTGAGTCAATCTTCTTATTAAACTATAAAAACATATGATAGAAGTGACCTCTGGGAATGGTGTTTTTATGCGGTCCATGCTGATAGCTATGTCATGCCATAAAAGAGAAATTGTGGGAAGTGGTGTTCTCTGTGGGTCCATTTGGAGGCTATATCTGGAGAATCAAAACACTGCTGAGTCAGTTGAGAGTAGTGATTCTGCATTTAACAGTTTGGAGACAGACCCATCAAAGGTTGTCACAGACAGTCACTCCTAGCGAAGGCGTGGAAGGCAGAGAAGCCCCCATTGTTGTAAGTCACTGCATAGCAATGCCAAGTTAACTGCAACACAGACACCAGCCAGCTACGACTGCAGCCGTGGAACACGTCAGCTGAGGGATCTATGGCGTTGGAAGTGTTACTAGGTGACAACCAGCGAAGACATAGCAGACTGAGAAGACTTAATACATCCTGTTGTGAATTAGTGATAGCACTATAGTACTTGTAGAGCATGCGGTAGCATAGTTGGTTGAGGCACTATGCTACAAGCTAGAAGGTCATGGGTTTGATTCCTGATGAGGTCATTGGATTTTTTCAATTTATCTATACCTTCCAGCTGCACTATTGCCCTGGGGTTGACTCAGCCTCTAACAGAAATGAGTACCAGGAATCTTCCTAGGGGTAAAGGGCAGCTGGCACATAATGCTAACAACCTTACTGACATCTGTGAGCTGACTGCCTAGCAAATGTTGGAGCCTTGATGTCTGACGACCCCATGGGCCTCCATGGTCTGTTACAGGGATATCTTTACCTTTTACCTTCTACTATAGTACTTGAAATTCTGGGTTGCAAGTGTGCAATAAATCCATTTACCAATTCAAGTCCCATCTATAGTTGTTTAACATGTAACAATATACACACATGCGCACACACACACACAAAATCCAGCAAATGTATGACACAACTATAAGTTGTTAACTGGGAATACAAATCCAATTATGAGCATGACGTGCATACTGATGAATACACTACAATATTTGGATATGGTGGTATTATTTCACCTGAATTGAAACCACATTAATACCTTTCCTATTTAAAAATTCATCATCCAGATGGCACTAATATGCAGAATTTAACCCATACACCAGGCATCACAGAAAAAAATTGATGATATAAATTCTGCATATATGTGGGGCAGGTTACATCATTAGGAAGGGAATGTCATAAAAAAAATCCACTTGGCACATATTATAGCTGCTAGCTTAAGGGCAAGGGCTAAGCAGGAGATGGAAATAAACTGACATGTGTGTCTTGCAGTGGGAATAAGACTCGGCTAAAGTATGAGACTATCAATGGGAAGTGACCAAGTGTCTAAGAAGGGTTGCAGGAAGTGAAATGAAGCCTGCCTTTACTTAGTTTGTATCCCGGTTCACAGCTGAAGTTGTCCAGGTTTATTTTGATTACTCCCCTAATGATGTAAAGATGGTAATTATAGATGATAAAACAATTCCGTTCAGTGTGACCGTTGAAGCTTTTACTAATTCACCTCTTAGCACCCTAACATGTTTCAGTCCCTACAGACCATCACCAGAGGGAACATCAATACTTTTAGAAACTTATATTACATTGGGTGCTTTGATTTTAAAATACATAAATATACAATATTTGTAATATATACTGTCACGTGTTGGGTGTGTCACGCGACAAATAAATTCACGTGGGCCTCGGATTCAGCGAATCTTTGTTGGACATTCACTCTTACACACTGTACAATTGTTATCACCTTAATTGTATTCTGTGGCGGCTATCTTCCAACTGTCTCGTATGACGGCTAGGTTCTAACTGTGCTCTATGAAGGCTAGATCTCAACTGTAGTCCTGTAGTTCTGTCGCTCTCGACTTATGTAGGTGTTCTGTGGACCAGATACGAGACACCATTCGCCAAGGTTCGATCTCACTTGTTCGGCAATCTGTTGCTTCGGGAATGATCTCTAAAGATTACAGTGGTAACGTGTTTTATCTCATCCGTTGGTACTCAACGGCCTTCTGTTGTTCATCTACGGGGAAACGCGTTCATTGTTTCGGCACTGTCTATGCAGCGGTCCACTGTTATTGCGTTGCCATGGAAGTATCTACTCCAAATACATTACATTGCCCCCTTCTAAAGGTTGTTCGTCCTGAACAGCCTAATGGTGCATCCTTGGTTTCGTTTCCTAAGGTGTTCACCTTCCGCGTGTTACCTCCGCCTTTTCTTCGGCGTTTTGCCTTCCTTCCATCTGCCACCCTTCTTCCAGAGTGCTCACCCTGAGCACTTCCAAGGTCCAGCAGTTGTCGGTCCCACTGTCTCGCATTCATTCTTCGCTTTCATTCTCCATTCATCTTTGCTGGGGAGGCCGGTACTTCTATGTTACAGGTTCCTCCCATACGGGCTGTTTCCTTTCTTCCGTTTTGGAGGGGGTCGACCCCTCCACATTGTCCAATTTTTGGTGCCCTGTAATCTGTTGGAAATTCCTACCGCTTGTTGCCCGATCTCCAGCCCTTGGGTCTTCCTGAGGGTTCAGTTGGCTGTTCCCTTGTTCCCCAGATGCAGCCTCTCTCTTGTGTATTCCTCCTTTACTCCACTGCTGCCGTCTGGTTCCATCAGAAGTCTCCCCCCTCTGGGGGCTCCTCTTGCAACATTGTTCCTGGTCTGGTTGTTTCCGATTATGTGTCTCCTGCGCTGTGCCACTGCCACATGGTGGGACTTGTTCGGCCCGTGGGTGTCCCTGATGCATTGTGCCACTGTTGCGCGACGGGGCAACATAATGTTGGTTAGTGTTTTCTGTGCCAATTTTGCACGGCGTGTTGTCCTCCTGCAGGCGACGGCCAATTTCTTATGGGGTTTACAATCTTCCCGTGTTGAATCCTTTGGTTTCTGGCGGTGGCGCCAGTTTATTATATTGATTATAGATGTTAGGTACAACTTCAGTTCAGGAAAGCCATCAAACATCTCTACACCCTCTATCATAAAGAGAGATGCAAACTGAGCAAAGTCAGGCTTCACCTACTTTCATCAACCCTCTTTCTTAACCACATGGTTTCTTCCCATTAGACAGTATCAGGTTTTACATCCCACTTCAAGGCCTATATACTGATCTGCTTGTTCCTTCTGCAATGCAGGTCAGAAGTTTGAAACATTTCAACACACGAGATGACTAACTGCAAAATTCAAAAATACTGTATCACTTTGAATAGAAGACACTCTTCTTACACATTTTTTCTCACTGAAAAATTGAGATGCATCTTAAATTCAAGGAATTCTCACCTTTCTAATTTTTCCCTTAAAACTCACGTTAAAAAAACTGGATGTGTCTTAAATTTGACGGCATCTTATGTTTGAAGTAATGCAGTATATACATTAGAAACAGGATGTGAAGACCTCTAAGTTGAAGCATGCTACTTACTTTGCTTGTAAGCAGTATCAGTGCAGTTGTACGTATGGAAGGTAACCGTGTGATGTTCCATAGCAGGTGGTAGGCTTGTGCAACTCCCAAATTGGGTTCTGCTTCTATATGTCTCTCTCTAGAGGAACATTCTTTCTTGAATATTGCTACTAAAGTTGTTGAAAACAGGAAAACAATACCCCAAAAATACAGGAATCCTATAAACACACACAGACCAAATTTTACATCACCTTCATGAAGAAATTATATTATAAGAAGACACAGACAGGTTTGTTACCTTGAAATACAAAATACTTACACTTTTAAACTGCATCTATTTAATAATACAATCAACAAACCTTGACGAATATAATCATTTACTAGCCCCACAGAACAGAATCCTTCTTGAAAAGCTCACAGTTACATAAGATTAACCACTCAGTCAAGAAATTCCCTGCCTTTTATGAAACCTTAAGGTTCATTTTCAGTCTGTTTCTATCCACAGCAAATGACTGGCATGAATCTCTGTCCCATGAGGCACTTTCTTTCATGAGAAGCTAACAGGAGATCAGTTAGACAAGAAAGTCCAAAACTATGGAACTCAAAGGCTCATTACTGTGTGTGTCATGACAATGTGTCACTGGTCTCTATCCTAAGGCAGACAAATCCAGTCCACACCTCATATCATAGTTAAGTTCAATTTTAATATTATCCTCCCATCTACATCTAGGTTCAACAGTTTCCTTTCAGGCTTTCTGACAAGAAGAAAATGTACAAGTATATTCACTCCTCATCTCTTCTATGCATATTATGGCATCTCCTTCTCCTTATGAACTTCAGCGAAGACACAAATTATGAAGATCCTCTCTTCATTATAATGTTACTGGGGCTGGGATAGCACAGTCAGTATAGCGACTGGCCACAGGCTGAATGGAAGAGGGGTTGGAATTCAAATCCTGGTAAGGGCAAGATTCTTCTCCTCTCATCATCGAGATAAGTTCTGGGGCCCATTCAGACTTCTGTTCAACAGGTACTGGGGACACTTTCGCTTGGAGTAAAGCAGGCCAGGCGTGACAGTGACCACTCACCTCCAAGTAGTGCCGAGGTCAAGAATATATGGATTTGTACATCCACTCCCCCATACATCTTCATGGCACAGTGCTCAATTAGTTAAGCACAGGGACAGCTTTACTTTTTATATTATTACTTTCTGTCCTGTTACTTCCTCCCTCAGTCCAAATATTCTCCACAAAACTCTGCTCTCAGACATTCCCATTCTATGTACTTCACTATGTTTGAGAGGCCCTCACTTGACGGCAGGCAACATTGTAGTTTCAGTTCAGTGAATATTTACATTTTTAGATAAGTGATTAGAAAACATGGTAGATAATGGACATCTTAACCTCAGCAAAGAAAACTGCACTGGCCAAAATTACATCCATAATTACTTCAATATTCTGTGACAAAATCAAGTAAATAAAAATAAGCATAATTCACAATGACACGGATTCCATTTAAGTAGGTCAACACTGCACTAAAAATACTGTAACATTACTAACATTCTGTTCCACAAGTATTCCAAGACAGAATTTAAACATTAACATCTAATTAGAAAATTATCAACACTACCTGGTAAAGTGACAATTCCATGTGGCAATGGATCTCTTCGTAAGTAAGCGTTGCAAAACTCTGCTGATTCCAATCCCACAAAAATTACATAGCCTAGGAAGTATCCAGCAGTCTGACCAACACTGTTACAAGTTGATGCATGGCCTACATTGCGCCTTAAAACAAGATATATCACTGACAGCATTATTATACAAATTATAGGATCAAACTCATGGTTGACTATAATTTTTAACACTCAGCCTTACAGCAAAGTGGATGGCTGTGAAAAACACATCCACTTCATACAGAAGCTGAAAACAAACTAACTTATATAAATCAACTGAATGGTGAATGGACAAGTATCATACAGATGGTGAAGACCATTTAACTTTCTAATATTCACACTACAAGAATATCAGCTTAGTCGTGTCCTGCTGCTCCAAAGATATGATTGTATTTAAGTAGGCAAATGTCAGAGAAGCCATTTCATTGTACTCGTCCATCCTTCTGGTTCAAATACTTAAAATCAGAATTATGTAAAAGGAAAAGGGTTCTTTGATTATCAAGTACAGAAGACTCATTACCAGTGACTATGAAGATGCCAGTTTCCCATGTCTGAACTGAGACTTCATTCACAAAAAAACTGATAGCTTCTTTTGTCAACTTAATAAGCTTTTAACTGAGTGAATCATCTGCAAGGTAACTAGTAACAGAATCAGAATGTTTTGGCAGCCACAAGCTCATACAAACAAAATATCAAATGAAATTGTGAAAAATCATTAATGAAGATGACATAATCCCCTTTCTCGAAGCTTAAATTATGTGAAAACAGTTTTAATGTTGATCCAGATTTCTCCCCGAGCCACTATCCAAAATAATTCTGAAAAAGCATATGCAGTTTCAACTACATACATCAGCTCATATCACTGACAGCATTGATTACTTTGTACTAGTGATGACACATACTGTTTAAATTTGATTTGTTTCATTCTGGTCCGTCACACTAACAATTACAAATACAAATCACTCCGTCCAATGTGACATATAAGTTTACTACGTGAAAACCTATCAACCCTTACATGTTTCGGTCCTTGTGGACCATCTTCGGAGGGAACATCATTACAAGCTGGAAACTACTATCACAATAGGTGTTTTGATTTAATTACATACACATGTCCTGTAATGCACAGTTGATACCACTGTTCTAGAGTATGCTTGGACACAGCATACTCTAGAACAGTGGTAACACAGCTAGCCACGAACAAATCCTGGACATTAAGAGCCTCCTTATCAAGATAGACAGCGGCACAAAATCTGCCCCATACAAGAAGGACGATAGGAGTATGGACACGAACCTACGTGGTTTATAAAATTTTAACTATTGACAATAAGTTTTTAAACAACATCAAGAAAACTTTTTTTAAAAAACTTTATAATACCAGGAAGCAGCTGTGATTGCGAAACGTTCGAATTTATGCGTACTGTGCATTACAGGACATGTGTATGTAATTAAATCAAAACATCTATTGTGATAGTAGTTTCCAGCTTGTAATGATGTTCCCTCCGAAGATGGTCCATAAGGACCGAAACATGTAAGGGTTGATAGGTTTTCACGTAGTAAACTTATATGTCACATTGGACGGAGTGATTTGTATTTGTCATACTGTTTACTTCTTCCTTATAAGATCTTCCCTTATTTTTCTGATGTTAATTAGAAACAAATTTTCTTTTTATATTCAGGTATGCATAAGATAGTGGTGAAGGAGCAGATAAGTAAAACGTGTTCAGAAATACATATCAGTCTGAAACATGAGCATATAAAATGCCCGCCAATTTTACTTTCTTCTTATTATACATTCTGTGACAGTGGCGGGTGATTACTGTATGAGACAACAGTAAGTGCAGCCACATGGCTAGACTGTACCAATCAGTTTCAGCCTCTGTTACTGGTAATGTACCCTTCTTCTCTTGTAGCATTCATAAGTTAACTTTTTTTTGTGAACCACTTCATTTCATTGTTGTTTTCCTGTTACTTTTTTAAAAGGAAAACCAATGGCTTTGGAATTCAAATACTTCATAAATAAGCTGGAAATTTATTCTCTGTGGTTAGTCTATTTCAGATGGGAATTGAAAAACCATCTTGCAATACTGCCACCTTGCAGCATAACAAGCCACAACCCACACACAATCTTTTCTGATGAAATGACGACATATCTAGTTGAATTGAGAATAATTCCAGGTGCAATTGAAATTATCTTTTCATGCCTTTTTACTCTTACCTTTTGAGCATTGTGAGTGCCCATCCATCAACGGCAATATCTTGTGTTGCAGCCAGGAAGTTAAGGCAGAAGAAGCAGAATGTAAGAATAGCTATGTTTGGTGCATGCATGTTGAAATGATCAGAGCCTAACCAATCTTCAACTTTGCCAGATAGAAAAATCATAAAAAATCCAATCAGATACTGTGCTGGAATTAGCCATGACTTCCTTCGCCCAAATCGGGTTGAAAATAATGAATCCACTATTGGCGCCCAAAGAAGTTTCACACTGAATGGCCAGTGAACAAAGCTAAACTGTGCCTGAAAATAAGATTGCTTTGTTAAAGTACTGTAATATGGTGTTCTACAACACAGATATTAATATAAAAATCTGCTAGACAAAGAACTTGATTAGCAAGTAACTGTGCAAGGTCATCAAATCCAATGAGAATGAAGATTGCAGAATCACATGCTTTAAGTGAAATTTATTATCTATTCATATCTGATCCATGTTAGGTGGTTCCCAGTCACTACGGCATGGTGCATCCTCAGGTTGCGGATGGAGGAGACGCCCTCCTGCTTTGGAGGGAAGCTGTGAATATATTGAATAAGCAGTCGCAGACAGCCGACATGGGGTGGCCCTCCAGCTTGGGGGTTGGGTGTGGGGCTAACAACTCCTCACCGTAAAAAATCATTATGTTACGAAAATGAACACAAAGCCTCAGACTTGGACGGATTCCTTGGATAAAACTATAATTTTGCCTCTGGTTCTGCATGGGTGTGAAACTTGGTCTCTGACATTTTGGGAGGAACATAGACTGAGGGTGTTTGAGAACAGGGTGTTGAGGAGAATATTTGGACCAAAGAGAGATGAAGTGACAGGAGGTTGGAGAAAACTGCATAATGAGGAGCTTCTTAATTTGTACTCTTCTCCAAGTATAATTAGAATGATCAAGTCAAGGAGGATGAGGTGGGCAGGTCATGTAGCACGAATGGGGGAGACGGGGAATGCATATAGGATATTGGTGGAAAAGCCAGAATGAAAGAGACCACAGGGAAGACCAATGCGTAGGTGGGTGGACAATATTAAAATGGATCTTAGAGAGATAGGATGGGATGGTATGGATTGGATAGATCTGGCCCAGGATAGGGACCAGTGGAGGGCTCTTGTGAACATGGTAATGAACCTTTGGGTTCCATAAAATGCTGGGAAATTCTTGAGTAGCTGCAGAATTGGCGGCTCCTCCAGAAGGGCTCAGCTGCATGAGTAAGTAAGTATTCATATCTGATGCAGACACCCAGAAAAAAAATCAGATGAAGAGAAATATTGTACTATATTAACTTGACTGTGGGAAACTACAAAGAAACCTCTGACAGGCCTTCAGAGACATATTTTAATCTGAGCACAAGGGGTTGTGATAACACGTCTCGGAGCCTTATTCTCTGTATTAAACTTGCATGTAACAAGACTGGAAAGATATAAATGTGTATCATATAAACGTTCTTTGTACCAAATTCTTACCAACCATCTCCATATGGAATACATGAGAGAATGCTACCAAGATCTCCTTTTATTCAAAACAAGTTTTTGTAAGGTGTACACTTAATAATATAAAATCTACAGAAAAAGTCACAAAATTTTGGGTTCTCATGTTGGTGATAATGGTGATTTCTGTCTTGTGAGATGTGAGGATGGGTAGTCTGATAGACCTACCGGACTATATAATGTCACATCCCAGAAAACAGTATTCTTTTAAGGTAAAATTGTTCATGCGCTTAAACATCATGCCATGAAAATGCATAAGGAAAGTGGAAGCAAAGCTTTACACATTTTTAATTATGGCATCAATCCAATCAAATCCATACCACCCCTCCTATCTAAGATTCATTTTAATATTATCCACCCACCTATGTCTTGGTCTTCCTAGTGGCCTCTTTCTGACTTTCCCACCAGTACCCTACATGCATTCCTCATCTCCCTTATTCATGCTACATGCCCTGCCCATCTCATCCTCCTTGACTTGATTATTCTAACTATACTTGGAGAAGAGTACAAGTTATGAAGCGCCTCATTATGCAGTTTTCTCCAATCTCCTGTCAATTCATCTCTCTTTGGTCCAAATATTCTCCTCAATACAATAATTACATATCACATCTAGATTAAGTGCACCCAACCTCCTATCCAATGGGTACCAGGGGCTCCTTCCCCAGGGGTAGGGGCATGAAGCTGACCACTCACCTCCAGCTAATGCCAAGTTCAAGAAAATGTGGATCTACATATCCACTCCCCCATACGCCTTCATGGCATAGTGCTTAATCAGTTAAGTACAGGGACAACTTTACCGTATGTTATCTGGATTTAGTGATACATTATGGAGGTCAGAATGATTTGCATTAAATGTAGTTCTTTTTCTCATTCATGATTACGCCAATCTATGCAGAGGCCTAGGAAAGGTCGTGAAGGGAGCTCGTAATATTTGCTCTCTATTACTATTTCAAGTCATTTTAATTTGAATTGAATTCACATAATGATTATTTAGACAAGTACTCACTTGTTGCCTGTAGCTAACACCTCTGTTTTGTAAGTACATGGGAATTGCTGAGCTAAGACCCAGTGGTATGCCTTGTAATACATACAAGAAAAATAAAATAGCAATATTCCATTCATCTCCTTTCATATCACTACTTTCTTCAACTCTTGGATTCCCTGTCCCAAACCCATCTTCCAATGTTACAGATTTATTACGCACATCCCCCCCTACACGTTTACGAGTACTCATGATTTTAAAAATTCTGACCACTCAACTTGCACATAAACAGTAAAGCATATGGCTTTCTGGAAAACAAATGGTATTAGCATAGGTTATGAACACGTCATGCTTCCAATATTGGTGATGACCCTGAGATTACACCGAAAAAGTTTAAGCAGGATATTTTTGTTTTTGGAACGCGGCATAAAATCGGCTCAAGATTACGGTCTAATAACAACCAAACGTGACCTAACTTGGCATGCCACTCTTCCTTACACAAAAAATCACTCCACGTACAATTACTTGAGACACGTTGACTGTCATAAGCCGTCACAGACCGGTCACAGACAGATTCATAGTTCGCATTCTGACCGTTAGATGGTAGTACACATACTACTGCAATTGGTGTCGGAGGACACGCGATAATAGTCGCGATAATGATCTTGTTTTTTGTCCAAGATATTGCGACATATGATTTTTGCGAGCTTCAGGATAATACTCATTTTCCAGTGTCACACATACAAATTCACAAGTTTCCTAAGAAAAGTAATATGCCACATGTAAACAGGTTCCGGTCTAGAAAACCGAAAATAACGGCTTTGGGAATTCGTTGCGCCGACCACGCGACATCCTCTATCAGCAAAAGTTGGCATTAAACTTCGCCGACAAACGGCGGTCGCTCGGCCGGTATAGTTACTTTGAGGACTAAAATCACGTTTGTTTGTATGTATAAAGGTTTCGTTTTTAAGGTTAGGTTTACATTATCGTTGCCATCTTGTATCCCTCAAAGAAAAATAGTTTATATGTGAACTCATCCATTGCTGCCCGCAAAAAAGAAGAGGGGTAAAAGTAACATGACACTGATCGCATAGAAAATGGGAGTGCAAAAATCCTTTTGTTGCATGTGTATTCGTTGCTGTGGGAACCTGTTTACCAAGCTGATGCCTAGCAACTATAAAGGGACATGCAGACAGCAAGGTGATCTGACAAGCCTACTTCTCTATTAAAAAAAAAAAATCCGGATAGGGGTTTGCCCTATCTATTGGACCCAGCTGAGTAGGTTTTACCTGAGGATGGGGACAGAATCCAGTCTCCGAAACGTTTCCAAAAAGAAACAGGACGGTTTTTAGAAAATAGACAAGGCGATGGATAATATCCAAAACATAATACTTGTAGCAATATACCATCATCACAAACTTTTAGATTTTATCTGATCAGCAGTTGAACAATTACATTGAAACCCAGATAGATGATCCCCAATAATTTCATCTATGTATGGACTTAATCGTGAGAGAAGAAAATTGGATAAGATTTTGTATGAAGTTGATAGCAGTGATATCCCATGATAATTACTACAGCCAGTTTTATCACCCTTCTTGTGAACTGGTACAATAATAGATTCTTCCCCTGGTTAGGAAATTATTCCTTATTCCAAAAAGAATTAATTAGCTTATGGATCATAGAACATAACATTTCACCTCCTGCTTGAATAAGTTCTGTCAGAATTTGGTCACTACCTGGCAATTTCAACCTCAAAAGAGCTGGGATCAGGTACTAATGGCTCAGCTGTATGTACAATGTATTTCTGCCTGCCTAACACCACTGACCCTATGTACATTCAATAACAGAGAAGTAATTCTTCCACCTCTTCAAAACGTTGTGGGAATCTACAAGCAGATCACCATTCACTATTCTCATCCTTCATTAAGTTACTTCTAGGATGGTGACCCCCCTTTAAGTCATTTATTCCTTATGCAGGTAACTAATGTTCTTGTTCTATCGTTGTAGCCTAACTAACTTACCTATGGTACCAGGGCAAGGAACCTCAAGTTCAGAAAACAGCAATGTATAATTTCTTCACCCTGATTTCTTGTTCTCCAGTGATTCTTACTTCAGCTTTAGGAATTCATTTCACTCATATCTACCAGGAGAAAGTTTCTCAGCACTGCCCGTAAAGTATGAAACTTTCACCTAAAACAATCCAGCATCCCTCACTGAAAATCGTTGGACTGCTGTGAACTGTATTATATACAGAAGCTGAAGTTCAGTGTACTTGAATGAAAAGTTTGTTTCCATCAGTGATATTTGTATTAATCTTCTTAACATTAGTTTAAAATTACAAGTTTAACATTGAATGGAATAATATAATCAGAATAAGAAAATAGCTGAGTGAAAATAATTAAAACATTATTAACAACTTATTTCTTATTCAGAAAAATTGAAAAAAAAAAGTATTTCAATAGACACAGTGAATTCTGATATCAATTCTACTTGTTGTCGTTTCACGTCGAAGTAGATAACGTGAACACTTGAAGTCAGTGATAAAGTAATAACATTTCATTCTTACCTATATACAAACAAGAATTGTGTGGATCGGAAAGCAATTTCCCATATAATTATCAATTTAAGCATAATTCCTTCCAGGTAAAGTGCAGGATGAAAACTGACTGTATTCTGAAAGCGAAATTCTAATATACTGAGAGGAAAGAGACATGTTGGCAAAGTGATGAAGTTTAGAATAGGTTTTTTTGTATATAATCACTGACTGCAGATGATGACGATGATGATATTAATAAAGTGCTTAATACCAGAGATTTAAAATAAGTGCATGTTGTTGCATGGTAGTTCCTTGTATATTTGTATTTGTATTTGTATTTATATTTGTTCAAGAAATCCAAAAAAGGATATAGAACATGTCACAGAACTAAATATAAAACAGGATACATGCATAAATTACACGACTAGATAGTACAATGAATCAAACAATAACAAGTTTCAAAGATCCAAAAAATGGATATAAAACATGTCATAAATAATACAAAACATAAAATACTCAGTTATGCTTATCTGGATCCAACAGTATTCAACAATAATAAGTTACAAAGATCCAAGAATGGATATAAAACATATCATAAATAATATAAAACATAAAATACATGCATAGTTATGCTCGTCTAGATGATACAAGAATACAATAAATACTAAAATTTATCTGTTTAAATATTCTTCTACAGTATAAAATGTATGTGTATTCAAAAAATATCTTAATTCAACCTTAAACTTTTTAAAATTATGAGATGAGTTCTTGATCTCTATGGGCAGTTTATTAAACATTTTTATACCCGCGTAGTAAACTCCTTTTTGAAAACTAGTTAAGTTAGCTTGAGGTAGATAAAGATCTTGTCTATGTCTGGTATTTATAGCATGAGAGTCAATATTTGATGAAAAAAGATGTTTATTCTGCAATACAAATGTTAACAATGAAAATATGTATTGCGATGCAAATGGTAAAATGTTTAACTCTTTAAATATGTTTCTACACGAAACTCTGTTACCATATCCCAACATCGCTCTGATGGCTTTTTTTTGGAGAAGAAAAACACTAGAACTATGGGAAGAATTTCCCCAAAAGATGATACCATAGCTCAATAAGGAGTGAAAGAAAGAGTAATAAATTGCCTTTAAGGCTGTAATAGACAAATACTGTTTCATATTTCTTATTACATAACAAGCCTTGCTTAATTTTTTTACAAGTAGTTCAATGTGATTCTTCCATATTAGGGCACTATCAACTACGACTCCCAAGAATTTAGTACTTAAGGTATTGTTGATAAAATTATTGTTCCCCAAGTTATGAAACATGTAATGATACTCATGTGAATGATTACCACAAATATTATTCCAGTAATCCAATAACTGCTCTCTGCTGAGATTAAGGTACCAGTATGAAAACATGATGTTATATCAAATATTTGAGCAATTACAGTTAAGCTGGTACAGGTAGGATATTAGAAGGTAAAAATCAAGAATCATTACCTTCTCAATTACTTACTCCTGTGTCAGAATTCTCATCTTCCTCTTTGTGCCCTTTCAGTCATTCATTTATTCAGCATTCCATAAATCCTTACATGGTTAAAGACCAATGGATATAGAAATAGTCAACATGAGTAAACATCACATACTGCATCACAATTATGTAATGTCATCCAGTTAAAAATATTAGCAATATACAACATGAACAGAAACCATCATCTGTAACAATAAAGTGCTAGCAACTACCACCTGTAACAAATCCAAAACTTTAATTGTTGTCACAGTTAAAATATTCGTCCAATGAATAAAATAAATTTAAAAATAGGAATCTTTTAATAGCAGACCTAAATTTTGTAATCTCATGAGCCTGGTCTTTTATATTAGGTGGAAGTTTATTAAGAATTTTAATTCCAAAATAATATGTTCCCTTTTGAAAGACAGTTAAGTTACACGAGGGATAATGGAGATTATTACTGTCTTGTGTTGATTGTATGAATCTCAGAATTAGATAAAAATAGATCCTTGTTTTTGAACATAAATAACAATGGGAAAAATTTACTGAGAAAAGTGGCAGCATCTTTAATCTCTTAAACAACTCCCTACAAGAATCTCTACTTCTAGAATTGGTGATGACTCTTATTACCCTATTCTGTAGTCTAAAGATACAGTTGCAGAGGGGCGAATTACCCCAGAAAATCAGGCCATATGTCAGAATGAAAATATGAAAAATATACTGATCTCATTTATTCTAATGACATATAGGGTTTAATAGCCCTAACTGCATAGAAAGCTGAAGCCAGTTTGGACATGAGCCAGTCAATGTGTCCTTTCCATGATAGGGTATTATCAGTCATCAAACCGAGGAACTTAATATCAACAGTTGTAGTAATTTTACTGTTACTATAAATGATAGGTATGTCCATTGTATTACTATTCTTGGTTGAGAAATGCATAAAATACGTTTTATCGAGATTCAATGTCAGTAAGTTAGTCTTGAACCATTCATTTATATTTTTCAATATTAAATTTAGTTCATTTTCATACTCAATACGATTAGAGTTCTTAACAATAATACAGGTATCACCCGCGAAGAGAATAGGTATTGATTTACTCTTTATAATATTTGGCAGATCATTAATGTATAACAAAAACAATAAGGGACCTAAGATTGATCCCTGGGGAACACCACTGACAATCTTACCCCAACTTGAATGAGTGCACTTCTTATTAGTTACAACTCTTTGATGTCTACAATGAAGGTAGGATTCCAGTAACACATTAGCTTTGCCTGCTATTCCATAAAACTTCAATTTAGGTAATAGAACATCATGATAAACACAATCAAAGGCTTTATTTAGGTCACAAAAAATGCCTCCAACTGGTATTTTATTATTCAAGGCCTTTAATATTTAATTAATTAAATTATATGATGTAGGTTCTGTGGATAAATCACACCTGAAACCATATTGGTGATTGGATAATATATTGTTATTCTTTATGTGATGGAGCAATCTTACAAATATAACATTTTTGGTAACTTTGGAAAAGATGTAAGTAATGTTATAGGTCTATAATTCAACATATTCGTTCCCTCTGCTTAGCTATACATAATACAAGAGTATGTATTACACCAAACTTGTATTAACTGTGGAAAGTTGTAGGCGAATTGGGAGACTTCTGTTACAACGTGATCCCAAATGAGGTTCTGAAGGTGTAGGTAAACGTGGCCTGTGGGAGTGTACTGCCTCCCACACTGGACGGATGAAGAAATAGTATAGTATTTCACCTAGACTGAGAATACTTCCCCCAACAAGTAATCCAGCTGTTCCACCCAAGTTCACTGAAAGAAGACATATATAAAGGCTTTTATTTTTAAACATGAATTCTACATTATATTGCTCTAAATAATGACTGAATATGACTAAATTTATATTATTCTAGATCCATTCAAGAAGTGTTGTGGTTAGAAGAAACTGCTATTATTTGTAATGCAATATAAACTATAAAGGATGATATAATTTCACTGAACTTGCTTTTACTAAATCTGTTTATCAGCAATGAAAATAAATACTGTAAGTAATATATTCCTGAAATAGCATCACTCAAAATGTTGAATAATTTTCACATTGAAGGAACCATATTATGGACCAGCTAACACTAACAATTTGTGAGACCTCTTTGCCATCTCACATGTTATATGATACTTATAAATGACATGTGCTTACCCATTAAATATGAAGAGGAAAGAATGCTGAAAATAATCCAAATGTTCTCCAAAATCTTTCTGGCTGACTACAATAAAATTTTGTTTGTAAGATAATGAGTGAACTGCTAGGTTATGTAACACTGAATCTGATATAAGGATAAATATCTGGAATTTCAAAAGACTGAAAAGAGAGGGGGTGAATGTGATCTGTTTAATAAAATTGTCCATCATTCACTAGAAATGATGGAGACTTATTGTGCCACAAAGATTTAAAAAAGTACCTCCCAATTACAGTCATGTGAGTGGAGCAAGTTTGAGCCCTTGATGCAACTAAATAAAATTAGCAGGGTCTACACTCAGATCTGCTCTAAAATGTATAACTTGGATAACCAAGAGAATTGCAACAGATAGCCAATAGATCACACCCCACAAAACGTGAGTGGAGCAAGTTTGAGCCCTTGATGCAACTAAATAAAATTAGCAGGGTCTACACTCAGATCTGCTCTAAAATGTATAACTTGGATAACCAAGAGAATTGCAGCAGATAGCCAATAGATCACACCCCACAAAACTGTATATTGATTGATTGATTGATTTATTTCGTCACTGTAGATCATTGTACATGATATATGACAAGTCAAGTTAATTCTGAATATTAACAATTTGATATATAAGTAGATTAAAATTACAATAGTTACAATTTTTTACATTCTTATTTGTGGAGAATTTGATGGAATGAACTATAATATATAATGGAATATAAACTACATGACAACATAGGAGGCAATAATGCAACAACCCCCTTCAGCATATCAAAGTCAAATTCAAAATCAAAGTCACATTGCAACTGACGGTCAGTCAGTCTGTCTGTCTGTCTTTCTTGGTGTCAAGCACCATCTGGGGCTCATGACCAGATGTTACTTTTTAAATGAAAGTTATTGTCCTGTCCATGTGGGGTGCCCTCTCTGACGAGAGGTCAGGTTTGTCATTTGTCAGTCATAGTCGATAGTATTATTCCATTGTCATTATTTACACTTATTTACAATTGGGTCTTAATGTCTAGTATGTATAATATATATAAGGCCTCTGTCAGTCTAGGCTCAGTACAGCAGATTATGCCCTATTTCTTGTAGTATTTGCTACCACGGCAGTCTAGTCACTTGAACGGTCATATGCCTGACCTTCAGCATACCAACATATGTCTGCTAAAGACTGCACGCAACCTAACACAACGTCTAGTTTGAAATTGTTATGGTTATGTTATTTTATGTCATTTATATCATATATCATTTCACATTATATTCATTTTTAATATTTTTTACCTTTCTAAATATTGTGAATATATTCCCAAGATATATTTGCTACAACACAGCAATCTGTTAACAAATATGGATCTGTATTGCACCCAATGTGTTTAATTACCTGATATATCTTCATTTAAGGTTTGATGATGACCAAATTGTGGTAAAAACATGTAGCAATAAATAAGTAAAATGTACCTTAACATCTACTATATCCATTGCAGATATTCCCATATCACTTGTGTACAAATAAAAATCAAATGTTCAATTTATAATCACCTTATAACTGCCTTTTATTAAATTGTTATGAGATCCCTTTGGATTTGAGGTGGATTATACTGGATTACACAGTGTTACATTCCAAAAGATGATACTCATTATGAAACTAAATTTTTCTTTCGCTGTAATTTCTGAAAATGGGGTTACATTGTATTTTAGATGCCACTGTAGTTGAGGCAATATAATGGTAGAACATATGAGTAAGAAAGTCATGCTTAGCCACTTTAATTCCTGAATAGTTAAGCACTGTGATGAATAAACATGTCATCTAGATTGATTTCTAATTTGGGACTTCTACTAAAGAGCGGAATATGTAAAATATATCCCCCCTCTCCATGATGAGATCACATGGTTCAGATATTAACTGTGAAATATAGAAGAATCAATTCTTGTGATGTAAGCCACTCACCAGCCATATCCACCGTGTCTCTCACTATATTACGCTTGAAGCGTACACTGGGTAATTGGATCAGTTGTATTTCTACAGCTGTGTAGTTCCTGGGTCTGAATCAAGAAACAAAGAAATGTAAGACATTCATCACTCAGGCTGGATATAGTGCTGTCATATTGGGCTACTAGGGTGTTCATGAAATTGTTGTCAGTTTTTTTTAAAAAATCATATGCAACATAAACAAAGGATGGTTTTCTTATAAAATAAATGCATATAAGTGTTGGGTGTAACTATCACTAGAAGTCTAAATTTTAACTTACACTCGTTCTCTCTGTTGAAACACTTTGTATTTAAGTTCTTCACATCCTATCATGCATGCGCATGGTATACCGTCTCCACCTTTCTCCCATGGATTTTTCAAGGTTCTAATGATTTTATGTGCTTCTTTAAGGCATTTCATTCCATCCAGACCACAGTTCTTCTCTGTTCCTGAAGATAATTTATCTTTCATTAGATTTTATAATCAGGCTTGACATTTTGACAGAAATTTCTGAGTCAGTATATGATACATTAGTACTTAAAAGGTTAATAGATGCAACCTGCTACTACTAACCAGTTTACTGTCATTTTCTCAAGCATCAGCCAATGTATTGCTTAAACATTTCCCCTTCTCATTATTTCAGTTACTACATTTGACCACAACTTACTTGCTGCTGGCATGAGGGGGTTGGTACAGTTGCAAAGGTGCATAGATTCTCTCCTGCGGCATTCCACTAGGCATGTTGAGTAAGAATACAGATTATAAAGGTAGAAGTTTGCATTTTCTTCTGGAAATTTACACTGTCTTTTGGCAATGTTGATTTCCTTAACTTGAGGAACACTTATCACTTCTGTTACCTGAAGAAATATTTTGTAATATACATTTGCAGTAGCAATAATGACATTTTCCATTGGTGTGTTATAAGTTGGAACTTCATGTTTTGACAGGACATATACCTGTTGAGGAAAGGAAATTGTAAGTTCAGTAAGGATGAATATAACACAAGAGTACAAGAAAAATGATGTGTATAGTAGTCACCACTGTCAAAACAGTACACTAAGTGTTGTGACAGAGTTCGTGGATGAAATGTTGCTACTTCAGTCCTAATTGTTTTTAATTATATGAGTAAAATTCAATTGCTTTCTTACAGCATTATTTCTTCTTCGCAGCTTTTGCTAATATATACAGAGTGTCCAGGTGAAAGGTATCCAAAATAAAGTAATTATACACATTTATGGATTACACTATTACGGAAGGAAACTTTTTTCTGAGTATATATATTTCTCAGTAAATATCAATGTGGGCTTCCTTGGTGGCATGACAAATATCCAGATGCTATTCTACTTCATTCCACATTGCTTGAAGCATGTTTGGTGTAACTGTAGCCACAGCATTCCTTATGCAGGCTTTCAGGTGTTGAAGGTTGTTGATCTTAACCTGGTAGACAATGTTCTTCACATAACACCACAAGGAAAAATCCAGTGGGGTGAACATTATATTTCAGCATCCTGCTGCATTGGGGTACCATTTTAAATTATAAAGTATTTTGTCTGTAATGCAATAAAGTCAATAATTTCTTAAAAGACACTAAAATATATTTAATTCACTGAAAAGTGTTTGTTAAATATTTTGAAGTGTTATTAACTATGTACATTCATTGTTCATGCTACATGTTTCGTCTGCCCATAGTCCATCATCAGGCAACACTTATTATTTAGGGAGACTAAAACATACACAACTAAAATAAAAGACACACTAAAAAGGAACATATAAGTACACAAAAAACTCAACATCTAAATATACAAAGATAGCTTAATGATAAAATCATACTAATATGTATATTGTGACGTGTTGCGCTATGCAGGGCACCCCTCCCCCCTGCCAGCGGTGATGTAACACCATCGGAGCACTGTCATTACTAGGGTAATAGGCAAGTCAACACTCCTTCCCCTACCCCGCCAGCGGTGACGTGGCCAAGGGATGCCGCGGTTGCTATGCAGCCGTAAACAACTCCTGACAGCGTTGCCAGTAACATCTGTAAACACAGCGCCAAACAACAGTGGTGCCTATTATGTAACTGTTTTCCCATTGTCCGGCTGAGGGTTTATAAGGGAACTACACAGCCGCCGAAGACAGTTCTCAAGGCAGCAGTTACGAGTTACGAGTTAGCCAGCAGTGAGTCAGTTAACCAGTCAATAGCTATCTATCTCTCATCGGAGTAATTGTGATACTGCCAATGGCAGTAATGTTGAGCTTGTAAATTGTGATTGTAAGAGCGAGTGGAATAAATTCGCCATATCCAATAAGGCATGAAGTTATTTGTCGTGTATACACCCAACACGCGACAATCTGGTGTCAGAAGTGGGATTGGACTTACACACGTAACCAACAAGATTCAAACTCAAGACACGTGACAATATTATACATTATAGTCAATGAATGTATGTATGTATGTATGTATGTATGTATGTATATTGCTCATTGTTAGGCAACAGTCAGCACACCAATGAAGTTCCTAGCTAGGAATCACGTGACTTGTTTTCTGTAGGTCTGTGCCAAAGGTTTATATTGGACAACAAAGGTCGTTTGCAGCCAGTCATAAGCTGGAAGAGTTAATTGGAACTAGGAGGGGGGAGTCCAGGAGGGTTCAACAGATGAGAGTACCAGGACAAGAATGGAGCATGAATTATGAAGACCGAATACAGATTAGAACAGAGGTGAACTGTAAATTGTGTAAATCAGCAACAGTGCTGTATTAATTGTATTTCATTGTAATTAAGGGAGGTTGTAACCAAAATGCTAATAAATCCCATCATCCGAACTAGAACCCATCATTTTCATTGCCCGTACCACTCTACACATGACAGTACTATTATATATGGTAACCTACAGACAACATTTAGAATAGAACAAGACAAATAAATTGTTCTGTATAGGAGAAAGGAAAAAATATGGAGAAATATCATGACTTATTTCATTCACCTTTGTCTTAACAGCCAATTCCAGAAGCAGTTTTCCAGGTCCCGAGGTGCTGTTCGATGTCATATCTAGAAAGGTCTCTTGTCTTGAATTGTCCCTGGAATGGAGATGAAAGTAAGTCAACTTAGAAAAGGCAGAACTTGTAAGAGGCATGATTTACTGAATTCATTGGTACTGCGAACACATATTAAAACTGACATATTAGAACAAAGGAGAGCTTAGCAAGGCGTACATGAGACAAATATGTTTCATGTGGTAAAGCACCATACTTAACCTGCAGTAAACACCACATTTTACACACACTTGGTTTCCTGTTCTAGAGATTTTACATTTAAATGTATCAAAGCTTTTGTTGTATGCTAATATGAAACTGAAAAATGACAACTCTCCTCTCCCCAAATATGAAATACATTGTTTAGATTATAAATGCATTTGATTGTTGCAGTATGAACTATGAAACTGTTCATATCCCACACACAACCACACCTACTGCAGCAGGTAGAAACTCTAAATAAGAAGACCTTAAATATTTGAATACAATAGCCTGCAAAAACCATTGGTAGAAAAGTCAGGTCAGGTGCCACATGGATCTATGGCCAAACAGTGTATGATTATCACATTTTGTGTCCATATGATGACTTTCTGTATAAGGGGTTTCCTGGAGTATTATTCTAACAGTTTAAGAAAGGAGGTTATGAAGCTAAGTAAGTTGCTGTCAGTAAATGGTAATCTTTAAGAAAAAGTGTTGTTCTGTTGGGTTATCAACAATAGCAATACATACATATATACATTTCATTTCACAAGTCCAAACAAATGGACATGAAGGTCGTCATACAAATTTTAAACAAACACACAGATAACAAAATAATTAAAACTAATTGTTTATGTTATGCTCCACATATTCAGAAACTGTATAAAAGGAATTAGTCATAAGATATAAAAACAGCCTATTTTTAAAACTAATTCTATCCTCTTTATGGCTTTGAATGGTTATGGGCAATCTGTTGAATAGTTTAATAGCAGTAAACATAGTACCTTTCTGAAAAGCAGAAAGATTCGAGTTTGGAAAATATAATTGCTTTTGATTTCTTGTATTCAAACCATGAACATCTAAACCTGAACAAAATTTAGTTTGGTTATCAATCACAAACATCATCAACGAGAGAATGTATTCACATGACAATGGCAGTATGACATATTTAAACACAAAAAATGTACTTATTAAAAGTCATAGAAATAGGAAAACATGTATAACTATAATTGTAAAATCAAGTTTTCATATATTCTTAAACTTTGCACTAATTTATTTGAAAGATATGTGTATGAAAAGCACAACTTACTGAGAATGAATGTTGTTGATGGCATAAGATGGACCTAATTCAGTCTGTAGGGGTAAAAAGTATTTGCAGCAGTCAAATTCTTTGTCATTCCACTGACACTTGTGAAAAATATCTTTGCATGGACTTTGCATCTAGCATAAAATCAAAAATAAATTATATTAGAATGTGTAACTGAAAGAAAGAAGGAATTTCATGGAAGAACAAGGGATGTTTTGAAGAAAGCAGTCTTCTGGGATTTGGCACCGTGTATATGTGGTGTTAACCGACGTTTCGGAGGAACGTATCGCCTCTATCTTCAGGGTAGAAGAAAAAATATAAGAAATCTGCAAGCAAAGAGACCGTGAGAACCGGTAAAAGCAGAATCCCAGAAGACTGCTTTCTTCATAGTCACCGCCGTGAAAGCCTCAAATATTACAAGGGATGTTTTGCCTCACTAAAACATAATTTAAACAGAAATGTTTTACCATCTGGAATATAACACCACATTGTCTGTTGAAACTCAGCAGACTACACTTCATTATATCATAGAAGCTAGAACTCTTTACAACCACCACCATAAGAAACTAAAATCCTACACATTTTCAACAAATGGAAATGCAGAGTTAAACAGATTCTGTTTTGACTTAAAGTAAACCCAATGGTCTCTGATATTCAGATAATGAATCCTTACTCCAGTTAGTTAAAGGTCAGCTTAACCTTGTTAGTGAATTGCCTCTTTGTAAGAAATGATAAATTACTAATGAAAATAAATTTGGATCTATAGACTTGAATAATGCAGTCAGTATAGCAATTGGCTAGGACTAGATGGCCAAGGGCATTCGAATCCCGGTAGGGGCAAGATCTTCCTCCTCTCCATGTCATCCAGACTGATTTTGGGGCCCATCCAGCCTCTTGCCCAATGGGTACCAGGCGCTTTTTCCCCAGGGGTGAAGTGGCCAAGGCGTGAAGCTGACCACTTACCTAAAATGAGTGTAGAGGTCAAGAATATGTGGATTCATACATTCATTTCCCCATATGTTTTCATGGCATAGTGCTTAATTAGTTAAGCACAGGGCAAATTTACCTTTCTTTTACCTTGTAGTACAGTAACCTATTTGCAAATGTGAACTAAGACAGAAATGACAAAGACTCCTCGAGTGAAGCAATGCCAACCTATAACATAGAAGCACACTTCATGGCTGCACTCTCTATAACTTACACCATGGAAAGAAAGGTACTCATTTAATTTATGCCCAAAAGTAAAATAATATAGTAGCAGTTAATGTCCAACAGATATCTGAAATGCATTTTGATTTAAAGTCTAGGGGAGGGTTTCTCAAACAGTTGGGAAACAGTTGTTCTCTTTAAAACATTCTCAAAATCTGATAATTTTATTTTATGTTACTGTAATTAGTGGATTTATATTTCTTACCAACTGAACAATATTTGACAAATTGGTTCTTGGGCAGTCATTCTTTTCAATGTTATCAAATTCTGATGCATTATTAAGACATTTCTTTATGTATGTATGTTGTTGCTGATAGACAATTTCATCTAGTAATAATCTCATTTCTTCTAAAAACCCATCTTCATGCCTGAAAAACAAGAGAATATTTACGAAGATTTGAGTATTTATGGCAGAGAAAATTTAGAGCATGGTCTTCAGAGGTTATGGAACCATTACAACCCACAATACTATATGGTGCTGTAAGCCACAAGACTAAAATCTAAGCATACACACTGAGGTTGAAAGACCATGGTTTCGAATACAATATAGAAATTGAAACTCTAGAAGTCTTGATCTCAACATTTAGGTATATGAATGGTGAAAGGAATAGGAGATGGAACAGATGTTCAGGTAAACTGTTCAATTTTTCATTTTCCCCTTACTTTTTGAATTTATCCTTGATGTACGAATTTGCCACCTTACTGTTTAGTTCAGACTCAAATATGGCAATTGAGACAAATGGAGTGTTCCAGTCCAGGTATGTAGTGTCAGCCATAAAACTGATTGCATTGTTCTGATTATGTTCCCATGAAGACAAGATAAGTAGAACTGATCCACACCAAGACAATATACAGCATACAGCCCAGAACAACCTGTAAAACAGTAACAAAAGGAAATCTTTCTGTTCATATGTGTACATAATGTTACAAATTTTGAAATTGTGAGGCTAAAAACATTCTTGGATTGGATCAAACTCTAATAAACACAAGTTTCACAACTGGTGAAACAACTACCCTTTGAATGGTGTAGGAGACAATGAGCTATATTCTTTAAATATTGTCATAAATGAGATAGTTTGGTAAACTCTATGAGAGTTGATGACACCCCTGTTAATTGCAGAATGTAAACTGGAAAATGTGAGTTGAGATTCTCACAGCAGTGACAACGAAGATTACTGTTTTGAGGATGACACCATGTAATATGGTAAATACTCATACATACCTTATTTTTATGATAGACATTGCTCTCGCCCGATGCATCCTACAGTATAAATAAAAAAGTAAAGCTATCCCTATAACAGGCCGTGAAGGCCCATAGGGTTCTGAGACGTTAAATTCCATAAAATGCAACAGTGTTTTTTTCGTAATAAAATGAAGCTTCCACATGTTTTGGCCAATGATGGCAATTATTGGAAGGTGACCACTTCAAAGGAAATGCTTCACATGTACTTGTATTACATGCGTGTGTTACCTTGTATTGTGTTGGTCCTGAGTGGTGTAGGTGGGGTTGTGGTGTTGTGTGCGATATGTTCACCAAACACATTGCATGCAATATCACACCCCTGTCTGCACCACACACACAGGAACAACACAATACAGGTGGCCTACTGTGAAGGAACGCAACCATCAGTGGGTTTCACTGCAATATTCTACTCAATTGAAAATTCTGTTACCTTTAAAAAACATTTTTAAATTCTAGTATTTTAACTCTTACAGTATAACACATGCTTGTGATACATGGGAAGTATTTCCTTAGATGCATTGATTGCCTGCTGATGATGGCCATTGTTGACCAAAACATGTAAAGGCTTTATTTTATTCTTAAAATCATTGTTGCATTTGATGGAATTTATTCATAATTTCACTAAAGATTTAGACAAGACTACCAAACTACATGCTATTGCATCTCAGAAGACAATAATCTCAAAGCTGGGAGATGAAAATTGTTGTATTCAAGGCTGTATAGCTTAAATAGTGTATCATTTTAATGAGGTAAGTATACGTACAAGGATGTAAAAAGATTTAAGAATTTACTTGTATGAGAATAAGAAGATCAAAGTAATGTGCTGGCTCATGCCATAGCTCATTTAGTTATTTGCTGACTTCCCACCATGATGGCTTGGGTTTGATCCAAGGTAACATCATGTGGGATTTTTGTTGGTGAAAATGGCAATGGGGTAGATTTTCTCTGCGTTCTTCGGTTTTCCCTGCCAAATCTCATTCCAGCAACTGGTCCATATTAATTAATCATCTTATCATTGATGTTATTGTCAAGTGTGTGGAGTGGCAGACAAGTGTTCTCAGTCTGTTACAGTCTCCAGTTACTTGGCAGCGGCTTCCAGGGGTGGACAATCCCTTTTCTCTTTGTTCCCAAACTGTCCCCGGTCTCAGCTACCAGTTTCTAACAGCAACAGCTCACAATGACTGAACTATAGCAGTCCTCTAACTCAACTTGACTCGACTCAACTCACTCTCACTAACTGTCCTGCTTATAACATCTCAGCATGTACAGCACAAAAGACACCGCTCCATTATTGTTGTATTGTGGAAACATGTTTGTTTGTGAAGCTATTACTGAGTAACGGCTGTCTCTGCTGGCTTCACAGTTGTAGCCTTGAGCAAATATGACACATAGAATCAATACTGAAAGGAACATTAAATAACAGTCTTAGATTGAAATTAAGTATCGTGTTCCAAACAATGGACTAATGGTGTAAATAATCTTATATGGACCCTTGTGATGCAGTGAACAAGCTTTACCTATGTCATTTTAAAGAAGTGGGACATGAAAATCCTGCAACTATCTTGAATGTCAGCTTTTGATTCCCATATTCTCTTCCACCTACCAGCAGTTCAAGGCAGTGAGACAAATATTTCTACCTTAATTTCTTTACCATATCAGTGCTATGAAGTGGAAGAAGGACTTTGTTTTTAGCATGCCTTTTAAATAATCTCTATGCTTGCACTTATAATATACATGTACTTTGCAGGCAGTTAAAATTTGTGTCAAGGAGGATCTTGGATCAAAACCTATCTCAATAACTCACCTTTCAATCCAGTGTCTTTTCGGTTTCGTTAAGAATTTGAGACCATGAATTGAAGAATTGTTGCAGAAATCCTTCAATATGTGTTGAAACATCTTAAAGGAAGTGTACTTCTGAAATGGAAAGAATGTGTTACATATACACAATACAAAATTACCCAAGAAAAGTTTTGCCCACCAGAAATTCCTCTTCATTACTGAAAAATAACAACACTTTGAAATCTTTGAAATAAAAAACTTGAGCTTTAGGTATGGTAGAAATTCCATGTTCTCAGATTTATAATTTTGGTGTATATATAGTGTTTATTGTATTTCTTTCTAAAAACGTGTTTAACAATATCCACACACTCAAGGTCAAAATACATAATGTCCAAAAAGGTGTGTCACTTCTGACAAGTTTTGCCAGAATGTATACCAGCTGGAAAAGACCACTGCATATGTACAAGTAATAGGTATATATATGCAATGCTTTATTTTTCAGCAATATGACTCCAAAGATGTAAAAACAATAGGAGATGCAAAGAGCTGGAGTAAATTATACATAGTAAACTCATGCTGGATGGGGCTGGTGGGAAAATTTGCTTTAATTCCAGTCTTTAAAGATGGGATGCATATCAGTATGTAATAAATGGATGAAAGATTTCAGCTAATCTTGGAATTCTGGAAATCATACTCTATATACCATTTGCAGAATATTGATCACAGTAAGGTTAGTGCCCGATCTAAGAAATGAATAATTGTGCAGTCTTTTTCATGTAAATATTGAATTTTAATATAAGATAGATATTTTAAATATTCAGTTTGAAATTTTTTGTCTTCTTGTCTGCTGTCAAGAAACATAAAAAATAAAATGTACAGAACTGTAATTTTACCTGTAGTATTGTATGAGCGTAAAACTTGGTCTCTGACACTAAGGGAAGAATACAGGCTGAGGTTATTTGAGAAGAGGGTGATTAAAAGAATATTCTGACTCAAGAGAAATAAAGTAATTGGAGGCTGCAGAAAATTGAATAATGAGGAGCTTCATAACTTGTACCCTTTGCTGAGTATGATTACTATTATCAAATTAAGGAGGATGAGAAGGGGAGGACGTGTTGCACACATCGTAGAGAAGACCAGAAAGAAAATATTCACAGAAATATTGCATAAACTTGGAAACCTTTGGAAAAATATTGGTTGAGTATTATATCTAAGATCTTGAACTTGGCTGGATACAGAGTAATGGAGCTAATTTTTTGTTGGCAATAAAAGAATGATATGTGGGATAAATCAAGATTCAAAAAGAAGAACAGAAAATAGTAAAAGTAAACCACTGAAGAGTGCACACTGGCAACAGAAGAAAACATAGGTCTATTGGAATAGTATAACTAAGAGTATAGCCTACTATGCAGATATGTGGATATTTGAACACCAGTACATATATGTCTCCCTCCTAAGGATTTCTGTGGGGCGAGATCTTGAAAAGTACTTATGGTGAAAGAATCAATGATTATTTCGTGAGTTACAGTTGAGATGCCCACAGACATGGATGTACATCTGCATGTACATTGTCCATTATTGTTGTTTAGTTTCAATCGAAATGGAATTTGTCGACAAAGTTGGGTAAAACACACCAATACAAAATTTAATGAAGAGCTGTTCAGTGGTTCTTGAACCGTTACACATAGACAGGCATACATGGCAAAGCTACTAGTTGCACTTTGGCAAGTTTTTGTTGCTAACGAGGCAAAAATCTGGAAATAAAACGAAAAATGCAGTACTTTTGAAGCTACAAAAATGGGTGCATAGGGACCATTTATAATATTTATGATCAAATGACATGCTCTATTATCAAAAAAATGTATAATTTTGTATAACTAATGAAGGATGTACCATGGGAAGAAAACCCGAAAAGAACACTAGCACACCTTCCTCAAGGGATCAGTTGAACAATTTATAGAGGAAGCAGTTTCTTCACTGGTTATAATTTATTTTTATGATGGTATCTACGAGAAGCTAAAGATTCTTTTATGACGGATTTTGAAGCGTATCTGCAGCAGCTCCTCGTCTCGTTTGGATACTTCCTCTTTCTCTTTCTCTTTTTCTTTATTTTTTCTTTTTATAAAATTTGAAGAATATTTTTATTTCACCAAAAAATGGAGGGTACAATGTTCGATGTTTCCATAGCTATATTTTTCGTAATCTAATTTGATCCTCTGAAATGCAAAAAGTTAATACTGAGTAATATCACTAAACTGCGGATTTTTACGTTGCTTATTTAACGACGCTGTTTGTATCGAGACTGTAGAGCTCTGTCGATATTAAAACGATTTGAAATTTGGCCAAGCGACAGGCAGGGAAATCGGAAGATTCCCCAATAAATCTGATTGCAGACTACATAAAAAATCCCTTCGGACCTAACTGGTTTCGAACACGCTTCCATGACAGAATGAATGCTCGACAGCTGAAAATCTAATTCATTGTACGGCAAATTATACTTGTCGCCCGAAATAAGGAACGATGAAATAAGAAACACGTTTAGTTCAATGAATCAAGATTAAAAATTAATCCCACTGCTATTTACGTATGTTTCACAAGGAAGTCAATAAATACTTAACGACCTGAGAATTGCCTGTTGAAGTGGATCTTGTCTGTCCGCATCTCCACTCAACATATGCACTAAAAAGATGTAATTACAAGCACTACAGAACTGAAGCACTTCGTGTCAGTCAGTTGCCTAGTGAATAATCAATAAAAAGGACATCATAACAGAAATGACAGGTTATCACGCAAAGCGCTATTACAGTAAATAGGTCTGGGCGTAGGGCTATCAGATAACCTAAAGCCTTGTCCCCTCTGACATTTCAGATTTGGCTTTGATATTCTTTTGAATTCCTAATTTTTCTCTATTTGAATATTCTCTTTAACGAATTTCAGGCTTCAAGTTCATTATCTTCGGTAGAATGACGTGGAGCACACTAGAAAATGTGAGCCATCATATCATATATTCTAATTCATTTGTCATAATTACCGTTTCACGAGGTCTCGCAGAAAAACAGTAATTTTGAAACGGAGGAAATAAATATTTGGAAACGTTATTTTTCGCATATCAATGATGTCCCAACAAATTATCTGAATAATAACGAATAATAACGAAATAACAAGTCGGTATAGTGACGGGATACTGGCTGGACGGCCAGGGTTCGATTCCCAGCAGGGAAAAGAGATTTTTCTCTTTCCTACAGCGTTCAGACCGACCCTGGGACCCACACAGCCTTCTATACTTCTATACGATGGGTAATAGGATCTTTTCCCCACAGGGGTAAAGCGACCAGATTCTGATTCTGACCCCTTACCTCCATCCAGTGCCGAGGTCAAGCATGATGGAGTTAACATTTCCAACTCCATATACGTCTTCATGGCTTGGTGCTCACTTAATTAAGCACAGGGACAATTTTATCTTATCTTTACTTTTATAATGCAACTAATTCGTTTAAGACGTAATATATATCTCTATATAAATGAAGCTTAATAATTCGTATTCGTCTTGAATATTACTGAAAAGATCACCTCGCGGAGAATGAGAGGGGCGGAACGTGAAGCAAGCGTAGGAGAGATGAGATTCTCTGCTCACATTGATTATAAGGCAGCACGTGGACACAGGGACACGTTGGAACTTGGCTGCATTAGGCTATAGGACAAAAAATAAGAAAGAGGCTTCACTTACATATTCTCGGTGATGCCTGGATTACAGGCCACTTTTAAGATAGATTAAGTGGGTATTCACATCAGGAAGTTTGGAGATGTAACCCCCCCCCACCCACATTCCTGACAATAAATAGAAGCGTTTTCCTCTTAACTTTAAGCCACAGGACACAACAAAACCGCCACATTAGACCTTTCTCGAAAGTTGACGCTTGTTCAGTCCTACCGACGTCTCCTGGCGTTGTCGTTTCGCATCCCTCAATGGCAGTCTAGCAGTGGCAACATACCGCAGTATCGCACTTTAATATCGAGGAATTGTTATTTCATAGTAAGACGTTATTCTGTTTCCCATATTATTGTCTGAATGTTTAGAACTTTAAAACTTAGCCGTACGCCATAACTATGAACGTAATATGAATAAGGGACAATGCCAATAATTGGGAGGGAGGATATACATTTCCAATAAAAACAACATTAGTTATAACAAAAAAAAAATGCTTCTGTTGTACGAAGTGTATCACGAGAAGGAAATTCATTCACGGCTAAAGCTGCTTCAAAATTCGCTGCGGAACAACACACACGAAGACATGTACACGCAATTTACGCACTCAAAACGTAAAGAGAAGAGTGCAGCAGAGCAACTGACTGATAGAGGAGAAGAGAAAGACAATTTATGACATGCTCAATGTGACTTTCGTTCCTATCCACCGAGAAGTGTTAACAATTCATATGTTCTGAACTTGGGGGGTGGGGGTAATGGTATTTAAATCCTATTTTCTTAATAAGATATATAAAAGTATATAAGGTATGCAGTCTACACAACAATATTCTGCATTTAAAAAAACAAAGAAGACACTACTGTATCAACAATTGCTTTTATTTTGTTTTTACAGACGCAACTGTTTCGACCCTTACACCGGGTCATCATCAGGCGTACAATGCTCTAGTTTCAGCTGCTGTATTACAATTATCATCTAATTCTTCAAATAAGGTTCCTCATTGTGTCTTGAAATTATTTAAATGCATACATTCATGTATTAAGTCTTGGTGAAAATTTAAACTGAAAATCCTTATATAGTAAAATTTAAAATTAAAGATATAAAGATTAAAATTAGAAACTAAAGATTAAAACATGAAAGTTAAAATTGTGTTTTTGTGGTAAAACTCTGCGACCGCTACGTGTTGACCTGGTTTTATGCCGGTAGAAGCGACTGCAGCGTGGGGCGCCCGCGTATCGGAACCTTCTCCCATGGGATAGGTCATGCAGTCACGACCTTAGTAATGTCTTACGGAGCCTATGCTCATTATTCAGTATGTGATCTGTAACAGTTTAATTATTATTATTATAAGGCGAAGCTTATGCGTGTAATGTTATTAATCTCGTTGTTAGGTTATTTGGTATATGTACTTACGTATATTAGGTTATTCTTATGAATGGTATATGTGCGGGGCTGGTCCCTGCGTTGGTGCTGTCGCTATGTTGTAGCGGTTCGGTCTAGACCACAGAAGTCTAGACGGTCTAGACCGGTCTAGACGGTTTAGACTACTTGTTTGTGGGTTTTTTATTGCTAGTGAGGTGGGACTAAGTCCTTGTACTGCGGCCACTTCTGGCCTATTGTACCAGCCCCAGATGATAGGTGAGGGTGACTGTGGAGCAATTGGTGGAATGAAGATTGGCAGGGGAAACCGAAGTACTCCGAGCCAACCTGCCCCAGCGCCACTTTGTCCACCACAAATCCCACTTGACCAGACTCGAGATGGAACCCGCGTTGGGAAGCCAGCGACTAACCGCTTGAGCTACGGCGCGGCCTTTTTGTGGGGTTTGTGGGGTATCTGTATATGTGGGCATGTTTATGAAGAGTCGAGTCGTATTAGGTAGGGGGGAGGATACTGTGAGTGGTTGGAAAGATGGGGAAGGGGTAGGGTGATTTGGTGTCTGTGTTTTTACTAGAATATCAAATATGGGGTTGCATACGCGTATATCTGTGAACATATCGTTCAAGTGAAGACCTTTCTTCGTTATGTCGTATCATCATCATCATCATCATCATCATCATCATCATCATCAGTAATCTGTCAGACGACAGGCCCACAGTCTCTTCCAAAACAATTCCTCCACTTAATGCGATCTAGAGCTTTCTCCTTCAAATGATAGTCGTATATTCGAATATAATATCTTTCCAAAGTGTTGAGCGTATTGAGTTTGGGTCTCTTCCTTTCTATACGTAATACTTTCATGGTTTGGTCCATCGTGTTGAATGTATGCCCAGTTTCCAAAATGTGTAGTACAAATTTAGAGTGTTGTTTATTAGTCCTGGTAGCATTTATGTGCTCTCTGTAGCGAGGTCTGAATGTGCGTCCCGTTTGTCCGATATATTTGAGTAGGCATTCACCGCATTTTCTTAACTTACGCTTCCAAGTCACTTTAGACATCGTGTATTCCTCTCACATAAAGGTAAAAGGTAAAGTTGTCCCTGTGCTTAACTGATTAAGCAATATGCCATGAAGGCGTATGGGAGAGTGATGTATAGATCCACATTTTCTTGACCTCGGCAGTAGTTTGAGGTGAATGGTCAGCTTCACGCTTCTGTCGCTTTAACCCAGGGGAAAGAGCCCCCGCTATAAATTGGATATGAGGCTGGGTGAGCCCCAGTTCCATTCTGGACGACCTGGAGAAGAGAAAATTCACGAACCAAACGGGATTCGAACTCCGACCCCTCCGTCGTCCAGCCAGTATCCAGTCACTGCACCGACTAAGCTATCCCGGCTCACATAGATGTGTTTATATGTCACTGGTTAATAATGATATTAAAAGTAAAAAGAAAAAAAGTGAAGGTATCCCTGTAACAGGCCGTGGAGGCCCATAGGGTTGTGAGATGTTGAGGTTCCCACATTTTCTAGACAATCGGCTCAAAGATGGGTAAGGTTGTCAGCCTTACGCGCCGGCCGCGCTTTACTCCCCAGGAAAATTAAAAGAATATTCCTGGTACTCATTTCTGTTAGAGGCTGAGTCGACACCAAAAGACAGGACTTTACACATATTTAATTAATGCGAGGGGAGGGGAGATAATGTGGCGCTTTGCCGAAACCCCACAAATGTGCAAATAATGACAATGGATAGAGTGTTCGACGGTTGTGCATTTTTAACTGCTGATATCTTCATGTGACAAAGGAGAAAGACGATATTTACAGCATCGTTTTGATAAAAACAAACATTTAAGGAGTCGAAAATGACAGCACTAATTTTCACGTGTTAACTCACTCACTCATGGAGCTGAGCCATTCTTGAGAAGCCGCCAATTTTGCAGCTACCGAAGACCATAATTTTCATATTCATTACTGCTACAACCTCAAATCTGAACACAGATAACACTAACAGATTTACATACGGATATTACGTTAGCGAAGTTTGAAAAATGTGGAAGGAAATACCTGCGTTGTTGTTTATTTTATGTATTTGATGAAATGCAATCCTTAAGGGAAATCTATCAGTCTAACAATCTCCGTCTCTGACTGTCGGAGAGCTGTCAAATTGTGGTTACACTTACGTAAAATCCTAAACAGTTTATTTACCTACAAAATGGACGTCAACGTGAAGTGTAGACTGTAAAGCAAACATTACTATCCCAGAGAAAAGCAGCCATTACCAAGCAGAAAAACAGGAATATCGACGGTTTGACAGAATTTGTGGAGGAAGTCGGAGTAATTAATTTATTCTGTACGCAAATATTGTCTCTATCATTTAAGAAAGTAAAGATGAATAAATCAATTTCAAACTTAAAAATTCTGTCCCCACCAAAAAAATAACCCTAAAAATGTACACATCACTATTTAGAAGGGGCGTTCCAGAATTTGATTTCACTACAGAAACCACACAATAAGTAAAGGCGTAGGAATACCAGGGTTGTAGGGCTTTGTGGAAGATTTGCGGAAATCAGGATTCACAGTGCAATTTGGAAACAGTTTATTGGGTTCAACACACTGAACGAGTATGTGGAGTGTGCTTTTGTTTACCATCGCCTTCTTAGTAACAGGGTCAACAAAATCCA